GCAGATGTGCTTGCGTTTGCACCGACTATTCTCAATGGCAAAGCGCAGAAACCTATCTGAGTCGGCGGCTGCATGAGCTCTTGTGACAGCTATCGCATGCCATCCACTAAGAAAGGGCTGTTTGGCGCTGCCAAGCCCGTTGGACATGCCGTCTGTGGTAAATAAGGCGTAATTGCTGGCCGGCAATTATGGTGCCGTTTTTGTACGACACCGTCAATGTCCAGGCATACTTCCACAGAGCTGGCGACCAGCACATGCTAAGGCTCAGTTAGCCTCGTCATCATGTGCGTGGGTGCCTGTTGGTACGTACTGAGGAGGCTTTGGTGAGGGTCTCATGCATCCCCTGAGCCCAGTTGAATACCCATGTCTGGTTTGGGGTGAGAGCGGGATCTCCGCGGAGAACCCGTTCCGGTTGGTGCACGCAAGGACGCAGCATGGTAAATTGGTAATGATAAGCAAAAGATTATAGACGAGCCATCGGATTGTTGTTGAGGCTGCCACAGACCTCCGTATATCGACAAGGGAGGCGGACAATACCTCCAAGTAAAAATCTGGAGGAATCGTTAGTCACACTATCGACACCATCTATGAATCCCGTAACCTGTTCATAGATCGTTGATCATCAGAAAGTGCTCATTCTTCTAGTTGAAACAGGATATCTCCTCCGAAGTGATCGTAGTATCCAGTCAGGATGAAATGGTTATGGACTTATGTGAACATATCGTAGAAACACGGGAGTGAGTTTAGTCATATTCCTTTCCTCTTGCCTTCGCCATCCCGCCACGTGTAGTCTCGTTAGCTAGTTGCGGCACGATCTTTCTTGCGCAAGCCGCTGCAGCTAGAGAAGTATAGCGTGTCCTCTTTTTTTTTTTTTTTTTTTTTTTTTGAGGGGGGGGGGGCCCTCCTCCGTATCTTCGACGCAATAGTTTGACACACCAAGCACAGACACCCCGTCGACATCCGCCTGCTTGTTCACTGGGAGACCTGCCGATTGGCGGTGGTCGAAACAGACAGTACTCGCGGATTCGAACGTCCCCAGGTTGGCAACTGAATCCCTGGATTCCGCGTGCTCCGGATATGTAGGGTTCGATATAACCAGCCCGTGGAGGTGGCCCACGGAAGCGGATTCATCTTGACGTTGGGGGACGAATACTTTGTCCAAAGCCTCTGTATCGTCTCCAGCGGGCCGCCTACAATTTCCGCCCCATCGGTCGTTCCTCGAAGCAAGTGCCGCAATATCGTCGTCTAACGACCACCGCTGGCAAGACTTCATGTTGGTGGTGGCGAGTAAGCCTGAGCCTTGGAGAAGGTCCTGTTCTATGAGGTCGCTATCCTAGTTCGTTGCGACGGACTGATGTGCAACGACCACGTCGCCGACGTGGACCCGGCCAGCATCACGCGGCGCAGCACCAACATTGTTGTTGACCAGCACGAGCAATTTGATGGAAGGAAAGCTGCGCATCATGTCGACTGCTACGCCTGATACGGATTGGTTTCCAAATGACATACAGCACACGGCGACGCTGCGTGAGCCAATCTTGCCGAACATGTAGACATTGTTGTCATATCGCGTCTGCGGGAGAGAGGCTTGTTTCTCATCTAGTTCCTCATCCAATGATACTGCACAGCTGGCTAAGGTTTCCACGTTGGCACAGATATAACCGACGGTTGGCTCAGCCAGTGTCGACATTGTGTCTACAATGTTTGATAAATCGCGAAGGTATACTATGAGCATTAAGGAAGGAAGCA